GAAGTCCCAACCTTACCCTAGAGTTAACCTAATTTCGAGCCTCAAAGCTTAGCTTCCATTCTTACGATCAAGTAAGCACTAGTATGTAGAAGTTCTTGAGATTTATTCAAACTAGAGAAAATCAGCAACATTGAGCGTTTATTTCGGCCATGCAGGCGTCATTCCACTAACACAAGAACATCGTTTTTTCTATTGTAATCACAGCTTTACTTTGTTTTTTGCTCCGTAGCCTCAAGATTAGTTTTGAAGGAAGCTCAAAAACACCAGCAGGAATATATCATCATGCAAACAGTGCAGCTGCTTCACTACATTTCTTTGCGCGAAACAGAAGCTGATTTTTGAGGCTCAGATTTGTGCTCATTCTAGGGTAGGGTTCGAAGTTGGATAAAAAACTTAACGAGGACACGGTGAATTTCCAAGCTCTAAACAAAATAGTCATCGAAAAAGCTTAATTTATCCCACAGCCTTGGTAAAAGCTAATTAGAATGCTTTAACTGAGAAAGGAATGCGGTTTTGGAGTGCATTGACTTCAAAAGCATTTTGAGTCGTTTGAGAAGAGTAGCGTTCCTCCATCTGAACCGCGCTGGGTAGAGTGTGTAGCAAATATTTCGAGCTTTGTTGCAAGACTCCCCTTTCTAGCAGATATGGTTTGAATTGTTTTTCTTAATTAACGCTGAAGTAATCACAAGAGTTACTTACCCACTGCTTTTTACTTTGTGTATTTGAGTAATTTCTAGACGTTCTACATATTTGAAACATTCAAAGCGGTTTCGATACGAAGTTTATTACCCATGGTTTTTACCTTGCGCATTTGAGTAATTGGAAGTTCCATTTGAGAACATCAAAGCGGCTTCGATGATCAATAAATATAGCAAAGCTTTTGCAATGGAGCCCCTTTTATCATTCAAATTAAAATGAATCAGCATAACACATAACTGCATCAAGCACCAAAAGGTTTTTATCTAGGGCATTGGAACTATGTTAACACTGATCTTACATCTTAATTTACCCTACAATGCTTTCGATTGAACTTTTTTATTCTAACCCTTTCTTATTTTATTGCCCTATAATCTCTAAATTCGGCACAAGCGATCCACGACAGTATCCCGTAACGAGTTTTTGAGTGCTTTGGGAGTCCTGAAAGCTTTTTCTTGGAATGTTTTAATTTAAGTTGACGCTTTCAATTAATAGTTGACCATTTGAATGTTTATCTGCAGAAGGGGAACGTTTTCAAGAATGATGCTATTCTTTATCACTGATCCATAAGTAGGAGCTGAAGTCTGCATTGGAATACTGAGGTAGTAGTGGAAAGCGCATAGTTTTATTCTTGCACAGCTATGAAATTAAACTAAGCTTTCCACTTTTTATTTCTCGCCTATGTCAGGTGGATTTTTTCGTACTCATGAGCGAGATGAAAAGCATCAAGCCGAGCGTGAGCAGCAGGTGCGCTGCGGGTGCACCGCGTAGGAACCTACGGGAAGCAAGCCGGGATACACACTATAACTGATCATCTTGATAAGCAAAGTCAGTCAGAGGTCCGCTCCTAAACATGATGCGAGTCGTAACCCACTCTCAGTTTTCCATATTATTTTATACGACATTGAAGGAAGTGACGTAGAACGCGCAAAATCATGCATTGCTTTTCGGCTTATAGCATCATCAAATACAAGGCGAGAACTTCCGCAGTGTTACGCAAATACCTATGTAATGTTTCATAGTGAATAAGACTGTAATGCACCAACCTACACACACTTTTCTTCCCACATAAAGAATGTCTTACTTTTCAAACTTTTCTTAAAAGGGTGAAGACAAACTTAGTTATTCAACAAGCGACACTATTTCGTAAAACGACCAGTGATGTATTCAATATTGCAGATGCTAGAGTAAAGCAAGAGGGCAGGTACCACCAGCCAATTAGCTTTTTTCGTTTTCAACAGCAAGGAAAGATTCAAATATCAGAAAGTCGGCATACATACGCGCGCGAGAGAGTGCTAAAATGATGCCTTCTTGGTGTGCTTATGAAAATTCCTATGCCGAATAACATCAAATTCTTTTCGACCACGAGAAGTTCCCTAAACTATAAGCCTACTTGACGATGGCAGCCAAATATGACTGCCTACCCTTATATGGGAGCATTAATATTTCAAAATAGGCGGTCCTTGAGGAAAACCTTACAATATTTTTCCAGATACTCTCTTCTCCCTCACTTGATATTTCAGATGACAAACTGTATGTTCATGATAGCCATAACCCCACCTGATCTGGCAAGTATTTATTTGTTAAAGAATCTTAAAATCGAGAATAGTTATGGTATTTTAAATTAGAAAAGCAAATCGGACAGAACTTTCGGAGCAACCTAGTATTGTTTGCGTTGCTATGCGATTACAATTGGCAAGTTAAAGAAAGATCAAGAATGATTCTATACTCAGCCAATGGAGCGGATGATTTGCGGCCCATTTGAGGCCGCAAAGCGCAGCTCTTACCGGTCAGCCGGAGGATTGGCATCGCCTCGGCCAGCGATAAGCCTCGACTCGCCTTAGCTGAGCCGCGGCTTTCGGACAGGCTGTAAAGCCGACTGCCTGAAATCGCCCGAGTTGCAAGGTTGAGCGCACGCGAGCATGCCTGCCACGCGGCTTTGGGTACGGGCGTTATGATCACTCATGCGCTCGAATGCCAATGTTAGTCCGCAAGAGACACGCTCACGTCCGTTCAGTCGGGGCGATTTCGTGCAGTCAATTATAGCATAGCTTTAGCTCGGCCCTAATTGGGCCTTGGCCCACCATAAGGTCCTCGCCTTGACAGTAAATAATAGAAGTTAAAATCTTTAATCCGGGTACAGCTGATACACCTGGCATAGCTACTAATTCATTCACTGTGCATTTGATGAGGTACACATGCCATTTTTTAAAACCAAAAGAAGTGTGAACACAGACATGTATACAAAACGCCAATATAAGGTCTGAACGAGGCCGAAGCATCTAAGTTCGTGAAAACACGATTGCTTCTTCGAATGGCGCTCAACAAGTTGCGCACTAAGACTTAGGGTGATTTAAGGAATCCGATCGAATCTTCAAGATTCGCAAAGCATTTCTTTTTATACTCTCTCTGAACTACTCGAATGTTGTTATGGATCATGCAAGAATAATACTACAGATTCGTGTGCGTCAGTTCCATCTTCCTCCTCAAAATATAACAAATCTGCCATCCTTTTATTTCTTCCATTAAAGATTGCAAGGAAAACTTTTCCGTCTCAACAGCTTGAGCTGCGAAAACCTAGTTTGCAATTCCTTCGTACAAACTAACCGGGAAGAAACCTTCGCGCTTACTACGCTTTGTCGTACACGAAATAAACTGCTGTCGATTCGAATTTCTTCCAGATCTATTATGCAATTTTTCGCTTAAACTCATTCATTCGAGATTTTTCTGGATATCCGAAGATACAAAGCGAATTGGTGACTTTGCTCTAAAGAAGACTTACCTATGCTCATCATGAATGTCGATTTTTAGGGCTTTCAAAGCATGATTTCCAGACTTTGCGACTTTGTTCAACGCTGTTCTAGTTTTTCAAGGAAATGGAAGAACGTTGATGTGAAGCAGAAGTCGTAGAATATCCCTCCAATTTGTATGAGATAAGGGACTTGAAAGGTCCGCGGACCACTGATACGCTGACCCATAAGTAGTAATTCCTTCTTTCGCAACATAATCGAAAGAATACTCATGGGCTTGAAAGGTCCGCGGACCACTGATACGCTGACCCATAAGTAGTAATTCCTTCTTTCGCAACATAATCGAAAGAATACTCATGGGACCACCTGGCCATTCATCCATTCCTTTGATGGCTGGCATGAACAGCTATACGCTTACAAACATACCGATCCAATTATCCTTCGTGAGTTTTTCAAGCATAACGCGTTTTTGACCAAACTTCTGACCAAAGGATCATGTCGTGATATTCAAACACAACCAGTAACCTACTAAAAAGGCACCAGCTGCAGGGCATCGAATAAATCAACAGCGACTGACAAGGAAAGGGAAGCAAAGCAAGCTCAATGAGAACCATAGAGGTAGATCTCATTTCCACCTCGTCAGTTTGACAGCCATAACTAACGCAAACCTTCCAGAGGTGAAAGTATGTTGTTAGGGTAGAGATAAAGTTATGCCCATCAGACTACACCTCAGCTTCTCTATACTTTCGTTATCCGAGAGTTTATTTCTTGGTAAAACGTCCTGGAAAATCATAAGGAGAGCAACCCTCATTACTCTAGTTATTCCTGCAAATATATACTTTAAAATGGAATCTAAGGTTGGAAGCAGACTCGTTGAGCCGAATCGCCTTAGCCGGGCGTCCACAGGAGTTTGCGATTCCTAAGCACAAAATCGTGCTCATTTTCACTTATCCACAACTTTTGATTCCCCAACCGTGTTATTGATTGAGCATTTTGAACATCCATATTCTCCTGTCCATCTTGCACCGAAAAAGAATCTGTTGAGCCTACTTCGAGATCCTTTGAGTACCTTAAACTGCTGCAATGTTCACCTTCTTTTCCTCGATACCGCGATTCATTTTGCATGAACGAGCCAGATTATTGCATTCACATCTTCAAATGCAGATGCTTGGTAACGTGTTAGGACGCGAAATGCAACCGGTAAGTCGTACAGGTGCGTGCTGTATTGCCCTTTGCGCAACATTTTGAATGCAGTTTTCCGAGGTAAAAGAAAGCCTCATTGGGTGGAACTTGAGCAATGACCCAATAAGCAGTGTGTAGCTAAACTCCGAAAAATTAATCTAACTCAAATTTGCCGAGCCACTACTTTCAAAGATTAAAATATCGGCAATGTAAATTAACATATTCAGAGACCCACCTACCGGGTCGCGCGTTTTCTGGAGTCCAAAACAAGTTTGCGATAAAGCAATTGTATATGCGGGGAACAGATGTAATATTGAAAATTTGCCCGACTGAGTTCGGGGGAGAGAGCAGAACTCCAAGATAAAAGATTGTGATGCAAAAAATGTCAGGTCAGACAAGCTATTCCCACATAACTACGGAAGGATGAACCGGACCCGAACCACGTGTGGATGAAGTAAAAATCCGAACAGCGAGTGACTTGAAGGTCCACCGATCACAAACTTGGTACATGAGAGAGCTATCACTGGAAAACCTTCTGCGCGATGAGTGAGAGATTGACAGAGTTGGTCGATAACAAGTACTGGAGTAGGCCCGCAACATGCATAGCAGTGGGTGTGGGAAGGGTTCGGCAGGGTTCGGCAGGCAAACGGTAGCACTATACGAGCGATGACAAGAAAGTCCTCTGGAAGAAAATCAGTCAAATTCAACTTCTTGGAGAATATCAGTCAAATTTAACTTCTTAAGTTTTCGTTTGAAAGTGAGACTATCTGGAGAAGACAAGATTTCTTTAGGTAAACACTGAAGATATTTTGAAGTGCGTGCGAAAAAACTGTTTTCTGATAAAGAGTTGAATTGTTTACGCCCACCATTTAGATGTAAATAAACAGAAAACCCGGTGGTCCTTCCACGACTAGGCCTGAACACCCAGTATTTAGAAGGTCTTAGCTTAGTCTCGCCTCTGAAAATCCTAAAAGCAAGTATTATATCGTGCAGGATCCTACGATGTGAAAGCTTTTAAGACCTAAGACTTTCATTCGTTCACCATAGCTTGGAAGCGATCGTGGGTAACCACGACTGGGATAACATCTGTAAAAAAGCAAGCGAGTAAAAACCTTCTGGACGTTCTCCAGGGCCTGCTTATGCTTCCTCAGAAAGGGGCTCCAAACCTGACTTGCATATTCTACAATAGGGATGACAAATACTTTATAGAGTTTCAGTAATATTTTTGAATCGGCTACTCTAATATTACGAAAGATGGTGTACAGAATTGAGAATGCACAAGAAGTAACACTTGAAATTTGCAAGTCTGGTTTCAGAGTGCTATCGAACACAACACCTAAGTCTTTGATAGATGTTTTACTCACCAAAGAAACTCCCGCATGCTCATAGTGTTCATCACTTGCAATAGCACCAATATGGAATACCGGGCTTTTATTTATATTTACTGAAATGTCCCAATTTGTGCACCATTCGACCATGTTATTGATGGCCTGCTGCAGAGCATCTTTTATTGTTCCCTATTATCCCTATTGTATATACCATAAATTTTGATATCGTCGGCATACATGAGAACATGTATGTCAGGATGAGTTTTTAGAATCTGGGGTAATTCAGCAGTATAGAATAGGAATAGTAAGGGTGAAAGAGCACCGCCCTGCGGAAGCCCGCTTATACAAGGAAAACGTCCAGAATGATCTCTCCCCACTCGAACCGTCATATACCTGGAGTGCAGATCATAGGTGTGATAGGGGGAGCCGGGCTCTCCCCAGGTGAAGGGGGTCTCGGCTGTTCCCGACCTTCCAGGGTGAAGGGGGTATGTGAGTCTAGGGGGGGGGGTATGAAGAGCTCTAATTTGTACCTTATCTAGGTACAAATTTTAAAAAATTTAAAAATTTTCAGAAGAAATTAAAAAATTTTAAAAAAATTGATTGGAAGATCTGTGCTCCTGTTTCACTGCATCAACAAAAAACGAAAGCAATAAGGTTTATCCCAAAAGATGTACAAGTTAGGAACAACTTCATTTCCTGCACGTCATCATCAACAACATCACTATCAAACGTCAGAGACAACAAGTTCGCTGCCTGAAAAATCTTCTTTTTCCTCCGAAAGGTCATCGGAGTAGAAGTAGAATTGCGTGCTAAAGCGTTCTGGGTCGAAATTGGATTTGAAACTTTCTTCTTCTTCTAAGCGCCTTTGTGATTTTTTTCCTGGCCCTCTGGTAGCACTAGGAAGTCAGCAGGTAGGTGACCAGTTTCTTCATATCATTTTTAGGATATTTCAAAAAGTCGTACGGTAACAGCCTGTCTGGACCACTTATACCAATACTTTAAATGAAGTTTTTAGATAACAATGTGTTTAGTAGAAGGTTGACAAATCTTAAGTATTCGCTTAGATGCTCTATCGTTGTACGACTTCTGCGTTGTGTTCTGATAACAGAGTAGATAGAAAATTTCTTTCTCCACCTCTGCCGTGCTAGTCGGAATGGAAATTAGCTTTGCTAGTAAGTCCATCAGATTTTTGCGGTAAGTAACGGGAAAAGAGCCAGATCGCATATGCTTTCGCGACAGGGGAAGGAAATAGTGCATACTTTTTTGAGCCTTGTCGAACTCTGGCTTCACCTTCTCTGGCATACGTCCTGTTACTTGATTAGAAAGCTGCTCAAATTCTTCTTTAACAGCATCTGCGGAATAGCCGAAAAAAGGAGGTACTATGTTGCGCGTTGGTTTTTTTTCCTTTCAATATCATAGGTCATAATGTCACAAGGCGAATAACTTCCAAAAGCATAAAGCACAGAGTTGGGTTCGCGCTCCAGCCGGGATTTAAATGCAGTAACTATGCTTTGTACTAACACCTTCCTTTTGTTCATATCCATGTTTGTGAATTTAGCAGCCTTGAATTCTTCAGCAACCTGAAGATCAGCAATGGACTTCCTGGACATTTCCTCATTGAAACTAGACAATCTGCTTGGATTCCTTATGCAGGAAATCAGAGAGTTTCGCTCAATTGCCAACTCTGTATCAATGTCGACAACATTTTCGTCGGCGTAAGATTCTCCTTCTGCCTCGCTGTTGAACTGGAACACATGCGAGTTATCTGCGATTTTGTAAAGTATTCTGCCTGCCGCTTCCTCTTCAAACTGCCAACCTGTCCAAAGCATTGAGGGATATTTTAATAACATGTTATTCTTCAGAATGTCTTAAAGTTCTTGATTTATTGAAACCAACCATTCTCTACAATTAGGTGAGTTTAGGCGTTTTGACGAAAGTTATCTTCTTCGGCACTAGGTTTACAGAGTATGGATTCCAGAAATGGGCGGGTTTTTGTGTGAAGGTGTGGAAATTCACCAATCTGATGTCAATCAAAAGCGCATTTTTTTTACCAAAAAACATAAGCATATAACAACGATAAGCACGCTCAAATAGACGCGTTCGCTCACGTTCCCGTTAGTGCTGATAACGATGTCAATCCACAGCACATTTTTTGCTATTAACTTGCTCCACCTCGCTCTTATTAGGTCGTCCAGAAAGTTTTTGGACATGAATTTCAAAATTCATAACTTCTGATTTTTCCAACCGATTTGACTGCTTTCACTTTTATGTGAAAGGGTGAGTCATGCCTTTTATAATGACATCTCAGCTGCTTAGTAGTGGTCATCTGTTGCATGGATAGAAGCGATAGAAGAAAAATGGTAAAAATTTTAATTTTCTGTGTAGGGTCATAAAAAATCGGAGACTTGCAAAAAAATCGGAGCAGTCAGTACTGTAGGTTTTTTTCATCAGCTCTTTCTAAGAGTGCAAAGTTTGCGCCGATTGAGCGTCTCCATAAAAAGTTATAATTTCCCTGAAAAATGCCCAAATAAATCAAATTCGCCTTTTTGTATTGCTTGCTCGGAAATCATAACTTTTCATTGAGACGCTCAATCGGAGCAAACTTTGCACTGTTAGAAAGAGCTGGTGAAAGAATCTACATTACCGACTGCTCCGATTTTTATTGCAAGTTTCTGATTTTTTATGCTACACAAAAATTCAAATTTTGAGTGATTTTGGTTTTGAGCTTCTATCTATGCAACAGATGACCAATACTGAGCAGCTGAGATGTCATTATAAAAAGCATGACTTACCCTTTCACATAAAAGTGAAAGCAGTCAAATCGGTTGGAAAAATGAAAAATTATGAATTTTTGAAAATCGTGCGCAAAAACTTTCGGGACGACCTATACAGTGTGTTGGCTTTCATGGGTCACCGAAGCAAATGATTTTTAGAGCCGGGAAGCAAAGAAGCCCTAACATGCTGTATACCATTCGAAAGCTGAGATCATGGGGAATCGACGAAGACCGTCGACTTTTTTCTAGGTCTTCTGTGCCGCGAGATATGAGGGCTTTTATGTGCTTCAAAAATTAACTGATTTTGTGTCCTCACTTCCTGCTCTCCAAATGAATGCTACGAAAAAGTCGACGGTCTGCGTTTGTTAATGAAGACCTGTTCTTTAACACAAATAGATAATCAGCAGTGATTAGGTCTTCATTTGGCAGAAATCTGCTGTTGAAAATGACCATGTTTTCAGATAAAATGCGGTGTATCTCTCGGTAGAGGGGGGCTAGAAAGAAGTCGACGGTCTAGGTCGAATCCCCTTTTCCTGAGCTTTCGAATGGTATATAGGTTGCTGGGCGAAAAAACTAACCAGTTTTCGAAAATGGGGTGGAGATATTTACTATTAACTTGCTCCAACCCAGCTCCACCAATGTATTGGCTTTTATCGGTTACCGGAGCAAATGATTTTTAGAGCCGGGAAGCAAAGAAGCCCTAACATGCTGTATACCATTCGAAAGCTGAGATCATGGAGAATCGACGTAGACCGTCGACTTTTTTCTAGGTCTTCTGTGCCGCGAGATATGAGGGCTTTTATGTGCTTCAAAAATTAACTGATTTTGTGTCCTCGCTTTCTGCTCTCTAAAATGCCACGAGGATAAATAAATAATATAAATAAACATAAATACCGCTTCTTTTGTAAATTTATGAGTGTACTTGTTGCTTGAGGTACTTAGCCTGCAAAACCTTTTAATAACTATTTTTATCATATTCTCAGTGTACAATACCAATCTCAGCCCAGGTGAAGGGGGTCATCGGGAGTTTGGCCTCATAGTGAAGGGGGTAAGATCCATCACTCCCCCTATCGCAACTACGGTGCAGATACGATTTTAGCCAATCAAGCAAGGCTCCTCTAATACCATAATGCTCAAGCTTGTACAACAATTTACCATGACTTATACGATCAAAAGCTTTCGACAAATCGAAACATATAACACCTACTTCTTTCTTATCAAGATATGCCTTGATCCAGTCATGACTACAATAAATTAGTTGGGTTACTGTGGATGCACCGCTGACAAACCCATGTTGTTCCGCGGGTATGAATTTGAACCTTTCCAGCCAAGAGAGAAGTTTGTCACGAATAATTTTTTCAAGGACTTTACGTGGTACTGGATTTATGCTTATAGGTCTAAACTCTGTCAAAGATTGAGGTTTGGGAACTTTCGGAACAGCAGTGACAATTGCTTCTTTCCAGATGTCAGGTATTTCACCACAAATGAAACTAATATTAAAGATATGTGACAGAGAGAGCGAAAGTTCTCTTGCACAACGTTTGAAGACAATCCGGGGAATGCCGTCAAAAGGTTCAAATGTAGAATGCTTTAGAGTTTTGAAAAAGTTTTCGACAGTAGAAGGCATGATTATAGGTGTTGAGCAGGTATGGTTCAGAGATGCCCCCAATGCTTTAGTATCCGTAGTACTTGTAGAAAAAGTTGTTGCAAAAAACTCAGTAATGCTGAAGCCTTAAAGTGATTTGTTAGGCAGGTGTTGCCTAGCATGTCTTTCAAGGCGCCGTGATGTTGTAAATGCTGTATATGATGGATATGAGCAAAGAGATTTTTAGAGTGATTAGACGAAGCCAGGTGTCTCTCGTGATTTGCGAGTAATTTCTTGATGTGGAATGTCACGTCAAAGCAGACCTTACTGTATAATGGGCGGTTGTACTAAGCAGTTCTGAAAAGTCGTTCTTTTTGGAGCAGAAGCGACTGTATGTGACGCGGGTATCGTAGATAGCCAATTCTGTGTACACCAAATGGAGTATATTTAGCCAGTAGACTATACATAACACAGCAGAATCTGTAGTATACATCAGAGGGGCTAATGTACCGATCGAAGATCTCTTCCCAGTCAAAAGTGTGAAGGTCATTTTTCATTGCTTCGAAATCACTTTTGTTGAACATAGGAAATGGGATAAGTTCATTTTTGGGATTTTGGAGTTTGTACAAAAATTGGATGGTACTGTGATCGGATGTGCCAAACGGCGCCTTGACGGATAGTTTGTGTACTGAGTTAGCACCTGATAGCACCCAATCTAAAATGGCACCGTCGCGGGTGGGTACTGTAACGAATTGCTCAAGGTCCAAGTCACGAAAGAACTCGAGAAATCTCTGAACTTGTGGATAAATATGTTGTAGTGAGTCACCAGAGCATCTCATGGGAAGATTAAAATCACCAGCGATCAGGATATTCGGAGTACAATGGGTAGAAGCTAAGAGGAAGTCCACAAGCATATCATCTGAATCAGAAGCGGAGCTGGGAGGACGGTAGATACATTTGACTCGGGTTTTGGAGAGAGTTCCGGGCTGGTACAGATCAACCAGCTTTACTTCACAACTGCAGTTATCCTTGATTGCAATGCTCTCACATAATAGCGTTGATTTAACCAATATGCGAACTCCTCCTCCCTTCTTAAGTATTCTATCAGACCGAAAAACCATGTACGGTAGATTAGAAACTATTTCAGCATCACTTATTTTCGGATAACCACAATTCAGTGATAAAAAGAATATCGGGGAGTCTACAAGTCAAAAAATGGCGTAACAGTTGTAGCTTGTTTACTAAAGATCTAGCATTGAAAAGAATACATCGCAAAGAATCTCCTTGCCCACAACTCAGTTTCCCTGCATTGCAGAGGAAACCTGGTGTGAGCCTATTGCAGACTGAGAAGAAGAAGGATTGTTGCAGCCAATGAACTGGCAAGCACCAGCTCACCTTTGTAGACAACAAATCTATCTTCAAAGCTCCGACTCTGATTCAGCTGTCTAGCCTGGTCCCTCAACTCACGCTCATTTTCTCTTTCCCGAGCCGTCATGCTGCGCCGGATATAGACTCCCTTATGACAAGGAGAATCTTTGAGCAGTCGGGCTCGGGAAAGAGCGGAGGCCCAATGACTCCTCGATGGCAGTTCTACTTTTACCAAGCGCGGCATATTAGTCGGTTTTCTGCCCATGCGAAAGATCTTAACTGCCCGACATTCCAAATCAAGAACATCTAACACCTCGCGAACTTTCTTTTCTGTATCCTCTTGGCGCACTGAAGTGGTTGGTTCATTGCGCCCATCCCCCCTAAGCTCAGGGAGGCCTGCGATAACAATGCTTCTCGATCTACAATCTCTTTCGATCGCAGTCTCGCCAAACTCTCCAACTCGCCTCACGAGAATCTCATTTGTAATTTCTCGTACCTCAGGGATATTAAGATCCAAGAGCTTTTTGAATAGCTGAACAATTGATTCGGTACGAGGGTCATCTGAGGGTGCTCCGAGCGAAAGCGAGGCGAGGACCTGCGACGCACTAGAATTGCGAAACTGTGATGCTCTAGAATCCATAACGTGTTGTGGCGGAGGAAGAGGATCAGCAGGCTTTTGAGCATTGCGTGACTTTGTAGGCTTGGGAGGGATTGTATGCAGTTTTAGGAGGCATGCCGATGGAAATAGTGCAACAGAGGAGGATGGCAGAGAAGCAAAGTTATTGATCGATATGCAAATTAGGCTGAACGAAAATCGGATCTCAAGGCCTAAAATCAGATCAACACTTAGCAGCGAATAAGCACTTGAGCGAAAGTTCAACAGATAAGAAGAAAAACAAGGATGGAAAGACTTAAATTTGACTGATATTGTGAAAGACTGAGAGCTAACCTGAAAACAACCGCTCACGGTCGGCGCAGGATGGAGAATGAGTAGTAATGAGTAATAGTTATGCCGGGTAAGAGGTAGCGGCCATTTTTTCAATGTTGTTTAGGAGGCTTTAATCTTGTGAAGTTGAGTGTTGAACTCAGCGTCCACAAAAACCCTCTTACACAAGTTTTCACATCTTTTTGAAAAATTTTGAATTGGCAGCTTTTTCCACATTGACACCATATGTTTCAAGTTTCTACCGTAATCCTGCAGTAATGAAGAGAGATGGATGATTCGTTCTATATGGCAAATCTAAGTTGAAGCCAGCTCTACCAAACAGTACCTGAAGCAGGGCAAAAGACTTCTTGGGAGGAGAGATATTAACGATCAAACAGTGCATACATACTTTTGGGACACCCTGTATTTTTCGCACTAATCGATATGACTAACTAACAAACACAAGCCGTATACCTTTTCGTGTAGAAACGTAAGTTTAGCTTTTCTTGATGAAGTTCTCATGTTTTTTGCACATTTTTTCCTTTTTTGACATTCTCTTCCCTATCACAGTCTTGATCTGTACTAATCTCACCTGCATATTTTTCAAACTACTTCCAAAGACATACAAGTCGTGGTTCATTTGCTTTGAAACAAATGGATTTCAATCAATTAAACTATGAGTTAGACATATTTGATTGTTCACACTGTCTCATCTTTCCATTCAAGTGCTCTCGGCAATAGCTGGGGTTTCTCTAGTATCTGCACTTGAATGTGCACTCCACCTAACGTAATGTGTGTTTTGCTGAGTCCCATTTCTCAAGCTGAAATATGTCGACTTTTGGCAGAATTTTGTAGGACATATCATTAAGAATCAAGATTTAAACAAACAAAAATGTTTGGGTCTGCTTCACATGTCTGCTCTCCTCGGCCACCTTATAAGCGCTCGCAATTCCAGCGATCCTGCATAATTGTTGAATCCAAATGAACATTTGCCACTATTGCGAAAGATTGTTTTATGGGTCTCGAGAAGAAAGGAGCACTTTAGTTTTACGTAATGATGATCTGCAGCTCCTCGCAATATAGTTACATTCCAAAACGCTCTCCTGGTATGTCGTCAGCTCAAATGGAGCTATGGAGCTGCCATGTTTGTTCCGAAGTTTTAATGAGGAAAAACGTACACAGCCGCTTAGGAATCTCCCACAAATATTCGGCTGAACAAATCGCCGATGCTAGAGAAATGATTAGAGAGCGTTCAATCTCTCACGCAACTCCCAATGCAAGATTTTAGATTTCGTAGAAACTTTGCGCGGTTCACAGGGTTCACATTTCTGAATGTTGATCATGGAAAGGTCTTTTATGGTGGGGATTCTCCATAAAATTTACAGTATGTGTGTCTAATTTTCCAAGCCGTGAAGTAGGCACGATCCCTCTGTGCAGAATTATAGTAACTTCTTGTAACTTGACATCCAATGCCTTACTTCATACCGTAATCGTGATAGCATGTCACTTAATCTCCATGCACAAAACTTGTTAACTGAACTTTTCGGGATTCCGCAAATTTTACCAGCTTCTTTGTTAATTTATTTGATTCAGGAATAGCTCAATGAACAATGTGGAAACACAAAAACAGTTTCTATAAAAGTCTATTGATGGCATCTCTTATAGGCTGAGGTATATTTAGTGGTTATACCAATTATAGTATGGCAAGATTCTGATTTTTAGATGTAATCGAGCAGGGACATACATTAAAACAATTACCACCAGAGCAACATCCAGGAAAAAACTTTGCAAGCTGCAATTGCTGCATGAATGTTAAAGTTGTTGAAAATGGGAAGACCGCTGCGACTGGGTGCTTCGGTCATGTGAGCCACGAAATTGAGCCAGCTCTACTTCGCCTAAGTAGTGCACAAAAGCAGTTGCTGAAGGCTTTAGTAAAGGTGCCTTGAAATAACTGTAGGAAGAAGTGTTTGAGCTGTTTGGAACACTCTAACACTCTACATATCATGGCGTCTAAAAAAGGACTACTCAGCCATAAACTCGAGACTCTGGTTTATAGACAGACTCGACTTTTGGAACTTGACGTACAGAATGGGGTTAGGTCCTGCATATCGTCACAAAAGCGATTTGAACTCGCTTATGCTGCGTAAAGCCGAAGCAAATTCCCAAGACGGGATACGCCTGTTGGAAGTTGGTGACGACACTGTTGGAAGAGGATCTCGGATGAGTGCGTAAAACAAAGCTCACATGTTTAGAACTGATGCAATTTCTTTAGTTATCATCACCCCCACCTAGGTGGAACGGTTAAAAATGTATTCCCATCAAAGCATAGCAGTTGATGATAATCACCCACCCGCAGATATAAAATTTTGGGGCAGAACTCTCAACCAGCATGAATTTTCAGCTTTCTGCTGAGTGGCACCAGGACAGCATATGATATCCACAAACTTTTCGCGGAGATACAGAATCTTGTACAGACTTTAATCCACATCAAATTGTGATGGATGAAGCCTCTTGCTTTTATAAATTTCGCCAAACATTCCTAGCATCTGAAGCAAAACTTCACTACTGCAGGTGGCACATTGATCAGAAGTTCGGAAGAGCACAGCACGGCTTGTGGAGGTAGTTTACAACCTTTTTTGCAGAATGTCATCGATGCTACAGTAAATTTCTAGACACGGTTGCGAGGGCGCATCGACAAATATCTAAGTAGACTTTTCCTGGGAGCCGATTTTGAAATGTTCGAGCGACTATTTGCGGAGATTCTTGCTTCTTCTCAGGGGAAATTATTTAGGTGACATTCTGGCCAATTTGCTTATCTTAACGTGCGACTATAGTTCGCCAACCAAAATGCTGTGATGGACTACAATGATCAAGCTAAAGAAGGACTTTCTCCACAGAAATTCCAACACAAGAGGAGCCAATTTTCTGGTGAACTTAATTAGAGCAATCGAAGATTTAGCGAACACAAACGAAAGAAAGTTAATCTGACCCACGGAAGTACGTAAATGCATGGCGTGTTCAAGTATCGATGACGTGCAGCACGTCATATCGTGTGCAAGAAACTACCGTGTGCCATCGTAAGGCCATGTCGTATTGTGAGAGAAAACCTAAAAAATTTGCAGGAGAGGTGGAGCGGCAAGTCGATGGTACAACCCCACGGACCTGTATACCGTTGCACAGGGAGAATGTCGCTGCGATATTTTAAAAAGCCACAATGACTGCTCACTATGCAGCATCTGTCCTTATTCTTGGAACTGTTCATGCCTGGACAAGAGGTCTGGAATCAGCTGTCTCCACAGACACGAGGTGAAGCTTAGAATGGTGAAATAGCAACAAGTTCAATGTTGCCGAGCCTGTTGCCAAAAAAGAAGTTGAAGGGAAACGCTTTGAGGTTGGGGAAGCCTTACCTGCCGCACTGGAGCCATTTACCTCAAGCGACAGCTCAGGAAAGAAAACAGGAAAGATAAAAATGATATCGAAAGTGTGAGTTCTGTGTTCACATATTATAGTGTTTCAAATCTAAAACTGCAGAAGTAGCTGTGGTCTACCTCATGTCAATGCGCCCGTGAGCACGGACACAACAGAGTCCTTCGATGCTCAAAGAGATTTATGAGCCGATAGACCAAGCTTCCAGGATAGGGATGCGGGGACCAGTCAGCCGAACGTCGAAGTGAGGCCCGAACTAACCAAGCTAGGTGGGAAGCCATTTCTTACTAAGGCGCAACTATTCATGGTAGGATTAAGTAAAGAACAATCTTTCTCTTGTCAACATGTTGCAATGGTCCCAGTATTGAAAAAAGAAGGGCCAAGACAATCTGTGATGGGAGCCAAACCAAGAAGTTCAACAGATCTTTTTGTTTAGCATGCTTGTCAAATAAAAATCGCAGAGGATAGAATTGGACAGTAGTAGCATAACAACTAACCATCGAAATTTTCCTTTTCGATAATCATCAGATATGTGCTCATCATTTTTGCAAAATACACAGACAAAGATTATGAAAGAGTGCTATCAGGTTTTCAAAACACAAAGAACGGTTGCATGGTTAATGGTTAGATCTGATGAACTGTACACTTAGACAAAAAAAGGCCCGAAATATCTGAAAAACCTAGACACGCCCAGAGCTGCCACTAATAGCTTCCTACAGTGCTGGCCATAGCTATAAAGCCACCCTAAAAATTATTGTAATCTGCTCCCTCTTGTTTGAAATTGCCTGAAAAACGTTGTTCTCTGTATAAACCAACGTCATATCATTGACCATAACGGCTCCCAATTTCATTGATTTTGGCTGGAGAAAAATTAGAAAATTTGAAAAAACGGGTTTCGAAGGCTGGTGACAGGTATGGAGCCATCTATCAATTCCAATCAGTACTACGTTTTTTGAACCTAATTTTTTTGTATATGCATCAAAATATGAAACATTTGTTACACTTGGAAGCTGTCGCCTTTTCAAAAAGAAGATTCATCCTGCATTTTTTGCTTTAAAATGTATAAAAAATTATAATGTTTGAAAAAACTGCTTTTTCATCTCTCAAGCACTCGTTTGACTTGGATGAAGGTCCTAGGATTCGCTTAGCTTTTGCGATGAACACGGTGAAAGGCTCTGGACTCGACATTGCGTAGTCGCTGATATTGTCAAACGAGCCTCACCTTACAGAGATGTAAGCAGGCTTCTGAGACGCAAAACTCGATTTCTGACTCGCGAAAACTCTTGATCAGAAGTTAACGCCTTGTTTGCATGGCGACATACTCATGCAGAACCTGTCAGAATTTTTGCAAAGACATAACTGCAGCACTGAAGTTAGAGCGCTTTGTCTCCAGTTCAGTTGTGCGCAGTGTATCTCACATGACTTCAAATTTTACTGCTTTGAACTCCTCGTCAAGTCAAATCTTACAAAACTATCAGGATTGTAGAATTTTAGAGTTTTGAGCGGCTTTCCGCTTGATCGAGTGGTTAGAGCGGGTCATGATCACAGAGTGCACTACTAATTACGGAAAAAAAGGCATCCAACTCGGAACCAGAATCCTCAGAGTTGCTGACTTTAAAGGCAGC